ATTTTAAAAAAATCTTTTGTCCCTTTGACTATTTTACTCCTGAGTTCTCAAAATCCTACCTCTTGAGGTTCAGGTACCTCTTCTTTTGTTTGTTCTATTCTCCTAGTAAGATGGATTTTGGTATCCTTCAAGCCCTTTAAAAATCTTTATTGTTGAACAGGGCAAGCAGAAAGCATTATAACTATCTGAATCATATGTCAAAACAGTAATCATATGTCAAAAAGCAATTTATCATTCAAAGGATTATCTTCTCCTCCACATGCACACAGCTCCTTAATACTGAAGGGCAAATATACTTCCTACTGTTCATTAACTACTAATAGATGAGGTATGGGGCCAGAACCAAGACCATGGATCCAAACTCCTTTGAGATCAGCATCTAAACTTTGCAGCTCAGGCTCCTCTCTATAAATTAACTCTTTTAGTTTGTAAACCTGCTTTTTAGCTCATTGGTATTCTTCATGAAGCCTAAAACCTATTTTGTCATGTTTTCAGTGTAAAATATGTACATCTCCTCCAGCTCAGGCTGGATGTATGATCAAACTTACAAATTGTGTGTGTGTGTATTTTTAATTTTTTTTTTTAACCTGTACTTACCAAAATAATACAAACACTTTGCTGTTTAGAAAAATTCAGAATAAGCTCTGAGGTAGAATGTCTGAGGACTCTCTTATGGAGTTTCTCCACGATTCTGTGGAAGGGGTGGGGAGGTAGTACTATCCCCAATAAGCTGGAGAGCCCACCTTCAAACTGGCAGAATCCCAAAGACCTGCATGGATTCTACTGGATTTGGTTCAACACTGGATCTGACCCATGGCACCCTTCATGCATCCCCACTAAACTGTGGCAGCATGGTGATCCAGGAATCCCTTTGGAGTGCGCTTCAGAAAAAAGAATGCAGCTTAAAGTCTTTGAAGCTGGGGGGAGGAGGAGGTAGGGAGATATGTGCATCCCTCCTACTCTTCCCTCTGTGTAGACCTCAGATTCCAGAATCTCCCTATAAGGCCTTGAAAACAGTATTGTGGTGGTAGCTTATACTTCCACATAGGAAGGGGGAAGCCTGTGCATGGATTTGAGAGAGATCCAGGCACTAATTTGCAACACTATAAAATGCACTAACATTTCTATAGCTTTTACAAATTTCATTTGATCACGGCACAAACAGTCTTTGTGAAAGCACCTTTCTCAGTAAGCGTCTTCCACTCATCCAATAAAGAACCCTATGTAACTGTAACTTTCATTCAGCCTAGATGTGTGAAAAATACTTCCATTGGAAGTATGCAAGAGTATTAGAAACGTTATTGTGGATTTCACCTTTCTGAAGTAAACAAAAGGAGACTAATAAAACAAGGATTGGTTTGATTTCAAAAGTTGTCACTTCTTTTCTTAATATGTCAAGAAAAATTCCCAATAAAAAGCTTTGTTTTTCATTTTGTAATTTAGACACCAGTTTGTTTTCGTATTATGTACTTACGTGGGGGTTTTTACTTCCTGCATTTTAGCACTATTTTAATAAAGACCATAAATAAATTAATAGGGAAATACTCAACTGTTCCCAAAATCTGTTAATACACCTCTACCCCAATATAACGCAATCCGACATAACACGAATTCGGATATAATGCGGTAAAGCAGCACTCCGGGGGCGGGGGGCTGCACGCTCTGGTGAATCAAAGCAAGTTCGATATAATGCGGTTTCACCTACAACACAGTAAGATTTTTTGGCTCCCGAGGACAGGGTAGAGGTGTACTTCTAATTTCAGAATCAGATTCTCTTTTAGAACCATATTTTAATATTAGTTACTTTTAAAGAGGATTCATATCTTATTCTTTGAATACTAAGATTTCTCGAATTTAATGAAATTAGAGATTCTTTCCAGTTTTAAACATGTTTATATTCTTCAGTAAGTTATTCAAACTGTTTAACACTTTGATTGTTTAAGCACAGTATAGTAAGCTTTTTCTAACCCCTCCCAAGAAAAACTCCGCGGTTTGTGGACTTGCTCTGTACAAGATTAACAAATCCTTCTTATAGGAATCTGATGAAATGCCTTGCAAATATTGTGAATCCCAACTGGAAAGTAGATGGCATTCGCAAAATAGAAAGGGAACTGTGGGAATATGTGTGCAAATGATATTTTAATATTCCACATTTGATAGCAGTCTAATCTTATTTATGACACAAGAACCATAAATTCTTTTTCTGACCTTCCAAAGTTATTTCAATGCATTTACTGCTCCAGTATAGGTAATCTGCTTTGTATTTATAGCAGCACGTGCCATGTAATGCCATCTAGTACAAACTAAGCTCAAGGTGCAATTTCCTGCACACTTAAAAAGTGCCTGGAGGAAGTGCCTACCACTCCCCATATATGGTCACAATAGAACTTTAGTGCACACTGTCCACTAGTGATTAAGCAGCATCTAAGATATGTAATGGTACTTAACCAGAGTCAGGGAACTTGTACTTTGATTTTGCCCCAAAGAGCCTGTATGAAGTCTCTTGTACAGAAAATGTAATTTGTCAAAGCAAGCCTCTGGAGTTAAAATTAAAAAAAGTTGAAAAACCTCAATCAAAATACCTTGTCAAATGTAATGCTTAGCTCAGTTCAAACCCAAACACTCTGAATGCCGGCTTAGTTGTGGGTTGGTTGTATCCTCCACTTTTTCAGGGCCTGAAGCACTATTTCCATGGCATCTGTAAGCTATGCAGGACTGAATCTCCTTATTACCCAAACACCCAATTTTTCAAACAAAGGATTCTAATGTACACTGAAACGTTCATAAGACTGGTACTATTTGTAACCAGACTGAGTTTAATCATGTTTCATATTGAAAGACTGCTGTGTAGTCTCTGTTCTAGTCCACCTTATACTTAAGCATTGGGATTGACCTATTTTAGTAAATATTTTACAATTAATCATTTTCTACGTCTGTAGTCAATTACTAGACTCTGAGAACATATATTTTTTTTAAATAGTCTCTTCCTGACTTGACTGTAGTGTTTATACTGCTAACACTGACAGTTAATTCTGTTAGATGTTTGGGGTGCAGGTACGTGGATGGGGCTGAAGATCAGATGTGATGCGCCAGTTAGGCAATTCACCCATTCTATCTCAATGCTTGCCCAACAAGAGCTAGTTCAGACACTTTATAGTTACTGTCTTTAAAATGCACAATAAACTAGAGATTATGAAGGGTGCCAGGAGAGAGCATCTTCTCTTTAACCAAAAAAAGAGGTACAACACTGGCAGTGACAATGCTAACTTGGGCCCAATCCTGCAAACATTTTGTAAATAGCATTTGCCAGACCTGGTCCTTAGTCTGCACAAGTAAAACCAAAACTAAAAATAATCATGTTTCAAAGTATTTGGCTTCATTTACCTAAAGTAAACTATGCCCAAAAAAAAAAAAAAAACACACCACCAGCTGATGTTGTGGAAGACCTGTGATCTTGAAATTAGTTAATGTGGGTCCTTTCTGGCTCGTGCATCTCCACCAAGAAATTCTTGCATTTGTAAAATTTTACTCCAACTCGCATCAACAAGCATTTTTGTCTTCTTTTCCATAGCTTTGGTTCATCTAACAGATTTTTTGAAAAATTCTTTAAAAAATATTTAGCTATTGCACTTTAAATTCACCCTACCTTAATCTGAATTAACTTTCAAGTGTAGACAAAGCCCTGAGTATCACAAGGAACATATTTTGTGAGAAAAAAGGTGCCATTTTTACACATCTTTCCTGACCATAACACTACTTTTAGTACTAATGAGCACTTATCAGGATTGCACTATTTTGTATCTTCCAATGACAATAAACCGTACTAATACTTTTGCAGAATATAATTTTGCACTCCAGCGTTGTAATGATTTGATTATTCCTGTGGACAGAGAATATAAACTGTTTTCTTAAATGGAATTTCAACACTTTAAACTATCACAACCTGTGACATGAAGTAGCAAATTTAACAGGTTTTTCCAACGTCACTATACATGGCATCAAAAAGAAAATTAACCGAGTGTGATGGGTGTCAACATTTCAGAGATGGGAAAATTTATGTATTGCCAACATTACCAAGATTCCTGCCCACAAGAGTTTAGAGATATAGACTTTAACAGGTTGCATTTTCTTATCGAAATGTCTAAACTCAATGTAAAAATGTCACTTTTTAGGGTGCATTTATAATCAGTCAAGCGTTGAGTCCCTTGTGAGCTTCCACCTGGACCACCTATTCCTTTCTGCAAAGAAGAGTTCCTTTTTCCTACTTCATGCCTAACATTTCAACTTGTATACTTCCTTGTTCCGATACACCTAGTCCTTATTATGGTGGCTTGTCTTCTAAGTCAATATTTTCCAAGAGTTACAGCTTGCTTCCCTGTCCACCCACCCCAAATATTCCCTAAAGTACACCTCTGCAAGGTATAAACATGGAGTCCAGATCAACTGTTTTAAGAACAACTGCAATAAGTACCAAACACCCAGGACGAATTATTCCTGTATGTTTATGCATATCCTACAGAACTGGGGCAGGGGCGAAGTTTGATCCTTCTCACTGCATTCTGGTTACTGGGATGTGTGAAAACTAGCCCGACTCATCAGATTGGGGGGGGGGGGGTGCCTTGCCTCAAATACAACCGCCTGGAGAACACAGGATGTTCTTGCACGATATAAACAGGATGTCAGCCATAGCGCTTCTGGCTGGGCTGTGAAAATCCAAATTGCAAAGGCAGCTTTTTTGAGGGGGATGTTTAACTCTTGATCTGCCGTCTTAAACTCAAGGCCACACCAAAGCCCCTTGCCGCCCAGCGCAGCCCCGCTGCTGCGCCGCCCCCCACCCCCAGCTCTGCGGCCCCCTCGCTGGCGGTTCGCTCTGTCCTGGGCTCCCCGCTACGCCGCCCTGCCTGGGCTTCCAGGGGCAGCCCGCGCGACGGGGCAGCCCGGGGGGCGCCCAGCTCATCGCACCCGGCCTCAGCCGCGCTCCGCTTCCCGGGCTCACTCACCGCTTCCGCGTGCGGCTTCCAGGCGGCGACGGGAGAGTGGCTGGCTCGGGCGGGGGGGGAGGGGAGCCCGGCCGCCCCGCTTCGCTCACTCGCTGCCCGGCATGGCCCCGGGCCGGAGGGGCTCCCTGTGGGCGCTCGAGGCGACGGGAAGAGCGAGCAGCGCTGGCTCCGCGGCAGCCTCGTCTCCTCCTGGCTCAGCGCAGACAGCTCGCTCCAGTCTCAGGCTGTCCCGCGGGGCCTGCGCATGCGCACGGCGTCTGTTTCCCCCCCTCCACTGCCTTAAGGTGGACTGGTCCTTTCTTCCTGCCCCCCCCCCCCCGCCTCCTCCGCCCCTTGTCGCCTTCCGCCGGAGGACAGACCCTCGGCCCCCGCCCTCAGCCCGTGGGGATGGAGGGACACCAGCCGCCGCCTGGATCTCCCGCTGCGGGGGGGGGGGCAGACCCCGGAGCCTCAGCCGGGACACTCCCGCAGATGGCGGCCCCCGGCTGTCCGCCTCTAGGGGCAAGGGGCCGCCGAAGCGGCTATAAGGAGCCCCCGGGCGTTACGTGGCGTTTGCTGATGGCTGGCAGGGTGCTCGGCGCTGAGCACAGCACGGGAAGCGATATAGGAGCTGCCCTGGTGGGCTTTGCAATGGAAGGCTGGCCCCCCAGAGACCAAAGAGCCTTGCATAGCCGGCACAGGAGGTTGGTTTATCAGCTGCACCAATTGAGTCACTAATGCCCAAGTCACTCCATACAATTCAGCCTGAAATGCTCTGATAGGGGAGCCTTCCAGCGACATCCTACTTCAAGAAGGAAAGGTGGGAGATGGGGGAAATGGGGGTTGGTAAAGGTCGGAAGGTAACAGGACAGAAAGATCTGACAAAGAGAGGTTGCTAAAGATAGCTTATTACAAAATAGCCTTAACTAATAACAATTATGGAAGCAGGGCTGGAAGGAACCTGGAGGGGTCATCTAGTCCAGCCACCTGCAGTTAGGCAGGACCAAATAAACCAGACCATCCCTGGCAGTTGTTTGTCCAACCTGTTCCTAAAAACCTTTAGCGATGGGGATTCCACACCCTCTCTTAGAAGCCTATTCCAGTGCTTAACTATCCTTTTAGTTAGATAGTTTTCCCCTAATATTTAACCTAAATCTCCCTTGCTGGCGCTGCAGAGTCAACTCCATTGCTTTCCCTTCAGTGGACATGGAGAGCCAGTGACCACAATCCTCTTTATAACAGCCCTAAACTTATTTTTATCATTTTTTTTTTTTTGCTTTCCTCTGGCCTCTTTCCAGTTTATCCACATCTTTCCTAAAGTGTGGTGCCCAAAACTGGACACAATAATCCATCTGAGGCCTCACCAGTGCCAAGTAGAACACAGGAATATTACCTTCCAAATACAATACTCCTGTTAATACACCCCAAAGTACAATGAAAAGGTGCTCAATTGAATCGGTTTATAAGTTGCTCAGTTGTAAAGTTGTAAAGACCTAGATTGATAAGCTAAGATCCTACAAGTCATTCCATGCGGACAGATCCCCACCAAAGTAATCAGGGCTCTCTGCAGACAAATGGGTCCACCCACCTGGAGCACCTTGCATGATCTGGGCCATAGCAAGAATTTGTTCAAGACAAAGTGTCGTTTTTAAAATGGAAAATACAGCCAAAGTGGTGTTAATAAACTCAAACTCTGGCAAGTAAGATGGAAGATAAAGTGACATTTAAAAAATCAATATGCAAAGATACAAAGCAAAAAAGTAAATAAAAAAACAAGAAGCTCATAAGCAAGTCTGTGCATTTGCTAGACCACCAGGTGACACAGAGGACAACTGAGTATAAAGAGATTTTTCAGACAGTTGCATAAATCTTTACTACAGCCAATGATGAGGAAATGTTGCTATTTTCACAATTACAGAAGTGTAGATACTAGTAGAGATAGATTTATCAAGGAGATTAAAGAGCATATTGAGAAATTAAATGGCCTAAAGCACCCAGGTTAGATGGAGTGATCCAAAAATTCTTGAAGGAACTGAAGAATGTAATATCTGAACTTCTGAAAAAAGCTCTTGAAGGAACTGAAGAATACAACATCTGAGCTTTTGAAAAAAACACACCCTATCATTAGGACCAGGACTGGGAAGGACCAACACACTGTACTCCTAACAATCCCCAAATCCTGAAAACTAAGCTGTTAAAGAAAATCAGAACAAATTAAACAAGCACAGAATTGTGTGTGACTTATTTTACAGTAGGAATTTGAACCAGCAGCAGAGAATTCTGTAGACCCAGCTCACTTTTGGAGCCCCATTTAAGTTAGTGGATACCCCACAAGACTTTGCTACTGTGTGTGCGGGGGGGCTTATAGGAGAGATGGGCTGATCTTAAAAGACCACCCTCTTGCTTTTCATCTTGAAGGGAGAGGCTGAGACTAGGTGAGGTTCACACATCCCTTTTACTCTCACTTCACAGAAACTGGGGTAATTACTATACCCTCCATCTTCATTGAGGTAGGGACTGGGATCCCAAAGATCAGCTAGTGAGAAGTCCCTAGTTAGATTAGGGAGAGAGGATGAGACTAGGCTACAAGAAAACACACGTTTTGCTCCCTCCTTTGGAGATGGGGCAAAAGATGCCTCTCAGAACCATGGAGGGAGTAGGGCAGATGGCAACTCTTAGGAAGAATGCATAGGATTGGGAACTATACTGAGGAGCGAAGTGAACATCTCAGAAATGGGCACAGCAAACTTTTGCATGGAGAGGGTAGTTTTGGATGAGGAGAAGGTGTCTATATTTTGGGGGAAAGCTCATGGAGATGGAATACTAGGATTTCTAAATCTTCTGCTCTCCAGAGAGGAATATAGGAAATGGCCATTAGTAGTCCCCTCTTATGTATCCCCCCAAAGTAGAGCTGGATGGTCCATGCTTCTTTTGATGTACCTTATAAATAAGTAGCTGTAAGCAGTTCTTCAGTTCTCACCTTACTGACAGTGAGAGAGTCACTCAATTAATATAATCTTTACAACTCCAAATTTAACATATTTTTAGCACACACAGAATGATAGTTTTGCATCCTCTTTTAGGAGTATTATTTCATCTCTCATTACACAAGAGTTAGGCAAGTAGGTTTCATTAACATTAGTGGGAGTTGTGTGTTCATTTGTGTCCCAAAGAGAGAATTTAGTATACCTCTTAATCTTAATTTAGTTAATCTCTTCATTGGAGGTTCAAACTATCTCATACTCAGGTGAAACGCATGAATGGAAGTAATACATTTAAATTAGGAAAAACTTGAAGCCCCAGTTTAATCAAATGGGGTTTTTGTTGGTTTTTGTTTTTTGCTTTTGCTAGTCTTGCATAAAGCCACAAATTGCTGTTTATTTTTGTGTTGGTTTCTTTGGTTCATACACCTGACATTTTGAAATATCTGCCCAAAGCAGATGCCATGATAAAACTGATTTCTTTGAAATGTGATGGATCTCCACAGCAGGAGACTAAAACTCCCAGCACTCCACTGTACATCCCCTTTCTCTTGGCTAAACAGGAACTACATTTCCCCTTAGCCATGTCCCTTGCCAGGAAAGGGGAAAGGTCCTGATTCTGAACCAAGAAGTAGCTGGGCTCTATTTGGAAGTGGGAGCAGTATGCAGCAGGGAGCTGGAGAGAAGCCCCGGGAACTGTGGACAGAGCTGCATGTGGAATGGGCTGTGACTGCTGGACATCACAGCTGGGTGCAGATCTGTGTGAGATTTATGGGGGAACAACAGTGTATGGACAGGAAACCAGTACTCCGGGGTCCCAATGAGAACCACTAACTGAGCCTGGATTGGAAACCTGCAAATGCTTATTTGCTGGAATAGAGACTGTACTGAAGAGGAAATCCCGGGCACTAGGACTGAAGAGCCTTGGCTCTCAATTGGACTGCCCCAGAGACCCAAACAGAATCACTATTGCTCTCTTGAACTGTAACTGTTTAAGCCTCTCTACCTAGGGCATTTGCAACTTTTCCTCTTTCCTACCAGCCCTAGTAAAAACCTTTTCCTTAGCCATGTATCTGAGTGGGTATTGAGACCCACCAATATCCTGCTGAAACATCTATTGGGCATGCTACTGGCACCTAGGGGTTTGGGCTACAGTAACAATTTATTTTAGTTTAACCAGACTAGTGATAAAATATCTTTGTCGAGGTCTTCTCATGTTAAAGAGAGCAGTTTTATGTACTAGTATTTCAACAGAGCATGCTTTACTGGCAAAGATTCACTACTCTAAACTGGATGCCAAATATATCTGACTGATAATAAATGTAACTTATCTTTCTCATGCCTCAGCTTTCTCTCCTTGATTCTGATCTGTTACTTTTGTAAATGACCCAAAGTCCTTAATCTACCAAAGGGTATACTCTGTAGAATAGTCTTCTTTTATATAACTGTATTGCAGAAGAATTACTGGAAGATTACTCAGTATAAGGGAAACATCACTGCACTGTCATTGGAGCAGTCATATTTTATATTCCAGTAATTAATTTTTTTTCCATTGGAACCATACTATTCATGAACTAAGAAGCACTTAATTCTGACATTCCTATTTGTCTTTTATTGCAATCTTAAAAAAACCCCAGACAAACTAATTGTGACTGCATGTTTTAAATGCCCAAATTAGGGGGAAATTTGTATTCGTATCTGTATCAGGGGTCTAATTCTGTTTGTCCTCTCTTTTTAATCAGTTATGCTAAATAAATTTAATATCAAGTCTTCTCATAACATCCTTGTTTATTTCGCAACAAAAGGAGGAAAAGGTTTTAACATCTGACTGACACCAGCTTAAGGTGGATTCAAAATCTACCCTGCGTATTGTTTTTTTCCGATCTCAGACATTACCGATTGACTTGCATGTATTTTTTCTTCTCCACAAAGATTCTGAATCTCGGGTGCATTGAAGTATGGCGATAACTCTGAAAATGTAAGTCTACATTTCCACATATTGTAGATCACACCTTAACTTCTGTAAAGAAAATTGCGATGTGTAATAAGTTTGGCCTTTGCTGTACAAGACAAACACTTCTATCTTTCAGTAAACCAAGTCACCCTTTCAGATATCCCTAATTCTGATGGATGTTTCTACACAAATTTGGTGAAATAAACAATTATGAAGGTGACTTTCCAGAAGAGTTGTTCACAGGACAATACATTCTCCAGCAGTTGAAGTTCCCTGCAGGAATTTTATTTCATTTTTATTTTATTTTATTTTTATTTTTTTTTGCCCTAGCA